GGGTGGTTTTGCCCCCTCTTTATCCGTTTTCTGGCTGCAGATCCGGGTCCTGATCCGGGGGATGAAGGCAGAGGCTCCCTGCAGGGTTTAGGACCTCGCACGCAGCCCCGTAAATCGCCTGACCCGGAGGCAGCGATGCAAAGACGACGGCGCGGGGCGCGGGCGGCTTTGGGAGCGGAAGGAGCGCGCGGTAAATCCCTTAATGCGGATTCGCCGGGGGAAAAGCCGGGGAGCGCTCCAGCCCCGGCAGGAACAGGGCTCTGCGTCCGCACCGCTGGGTTCTGGGCACGGTTTTGGTACCGACACGAGGGGAACTGAAGGCAAAGCGGCTCCCCGGGGCTTTTTCGGGCAGCTCTGTGTTGGTGCGGTCCCGTCGGCGTCGCCTCACGAGCGGCGCTGAGCCGTGGCTTTGTTCCCCGGCCCAGATTTTTGGGGAGCGCGGTCGTGCCCGTGCTCAAAGACCCCCCCCAAGGCTGCACCCACCGCCTCCCAAACCTCACCCAAACCCAAACCGAGCTGTTCCTAAGGCAGAAATGATTCGATCCCCTAAATTTTGGCACCATTCGGCCCCAAAATGCCCCTGAGGGCAGCAAATTGACTCTGGTGATGCGCCCAAACCTCTGCCAGGCGGCGGGAGCGGGGTCACGCACGGCTGAGGCTTGGCCCAGCATCACCCGCTCCCTTGATTTGATCCCATCCCTGGGCAAAAAGCTCCAAGGGGAGGCCCTGCCCGGGCTGTGCCCCCCAAAATGAGGACCCCGAGCAGCTCAAATCCCACCTGGGAGCTCACGCAGCCGTTCACGCACCCGCTCTCGCTTTTCGATGCCCCAAAGCCCATTCCCCGCAGCGGGGAAAGGCCCGGAGCAGGGAGCCAAGCAATTTAACCCTAATTAAAGCCAAGGAGGAACTGAACGCTCCCAAAACATTTCTGGAGGCTGGCGGCGGTTGCTCCATCGCCGAAGAAGCAGAGGCCGTTACACACCAAGTCCTGGAAACCCGGGGCCGGTGCCACACCACCCAACCCCAGCACCACGGCATCGCGTCCCCAAGCACCACATCCCCTCCCGATCGCAGCCTCCAAACCCTGGGGACCCCCAGAGCCGGCAGCTCCGGCCCCAAAGGGTAAAACTCGCCAGAATTTGGCTTTCCAGCATCCCCTGGGGAAGAAAACAGCAGCACTTCCCACCCCCCCAAGACCCCCTCACCCTTTTTGAACTCCTCCAGCATGGCATCCAGCTTGGTGTCGTGGAAGACGACGTGGACAGGGTGGTTGTAAAACTTGGTGATGGTTTTGAGGGGGGTGCAGTCGTCGGGGTCGACGAACGCCAGGTCCTTGACGTAGAGGATGTCCATGATGTTGGAGCGCTCGTCCTCGTAGACGGGGATGCGGGTGTAGCCGCTCTCCATGATCTCCGACATGGTGTTGAAGTCCAGGATGGCGTCGCTGTTGATCATGAAGCAGTTCTGCAGCGGGGTCATCACGTCCTCCACCGTCTTGGTGCGCAGCTCCAGGGCTCCCTGGATCATGTTGAGCTCTTCCCTCACCAGGTCGTTGTAGGGCTCCGTCACCTTCAACATCTCCACCAGCTTCTCCCGGTTGTAAACGGTGCCGATTTCCTGGCCCAGGATGCAGTCCAGGAGTTTGCTGATGGGGTAGGAGAGGGGGAACGTCACCAACATGAAGAACTTGGTCACCACGATGGTGTTGGCCCCCACGGCCAAGCCGTGGCGGGAGCAGAGCGCCTGGGGCACGATCTCCCCAAAAATGACGATGCCGATGGTGGAAGCGACGACGGCGCCGATGCCGGAGCCGATGAGGTCGTCGAGGAGGATGGTGAGGGTGGTGTTCACCAGGACGTTCCCCAGCAGCAAGGAGCAGAGCAAATAATTCCCTTTACGGCGGATGGGCTCGATCTTGCGGGCGTAACGCTTCTCCTTCTCGGTGCCGCAGTTCTGCACGATGCGCAGCTCCATGGGGT